CTATTAATCGGGCTAATATCCAGGTGATCACTTTATGGTGTTAATCTTCAGGTGATCGCTTTATGGTGCTAATCTGTGCATAAGCCGAATCTGTATAATAATTGTGAGGGTTACTATTAATTTTTCCATAAAGACATGTAGCTAGTAGCTACAGTATCGATATGTGTATACTGTAGTTGCAGAAATGTGTTCTCATCCCCCTGTAGTAACCCGTGTCTCCAAACGGCCAACCTACATAATCTAGAGCAAACTTATCCATCAATCACATCTGCCGTTACACTACCAATACCCATTCATTCATAAACAGTGATACTACTACTACTGTGACAGTGCTGTTTGGAGACGAGGGTTACCACATGGTATCAGGGCTGTAACAAGCAGGATGGTTGCCCGCCGTTCATTTGCTTGTTAGCGTCCCCCACTTGGGGGGGGTAGACGGAGGTGAGAACGTGACTGCTGCCTCGACACACGGATCAGACACTACCCAGCCGTCAGCACAGTTGTACTTGCACCCCGCTGTTCGTTCAAATTCTGGTTCTGATCTCATCTGAAGTCCTGGACTCGTGGGCTGTTTCCCCAGACCTTCACAAATCGACTGTCAATCTCCGGACACCTACCCCAGCTACTACCGCGGCTGCCACGTCATCGCCAGTTCCCCCACACCGTCCGTGCACCTGGCCACTTCTCCTGTGTTGCAAGACATCGCCTGCCGGCGCTCAAGTGAGGAAGCTGACTTGACCTTCCCCCTGAGAGCGGATCACTGCTTTCCAGAACCTTCCCCAGGGCCGCCGCCGTAGGAAATATCTATTAATTGTTTGATCCCATTAATTGTTTGACTCCCTTAATTGTTTGACTCCCTTAATTGTTTGACTCCCTTAATTGTTTGATTCCCTTAATTGTTTGACTCCATTAATTGTTGACTCCTGTAATTGTTTGACTCCCGTAATTGTTATTTGATGTTTGTGTGAGTGGTGTCAGAGTTTTGTGTTATTTTCATAGTAAAGAGATGTCAATCTCTAACGGTTGTGTGTTATCCCTCGGAAAACCATGGTTCTTGACTTTCCTCTTATAAGATCCTGATTAGGCTGGCAAGGGATTTCTATCCCTAAGTCCCAGGCCTTTACACATGGGGTGTGGGAACATATTTCCACAACTGTACCAACTATCAAATTATTTGTAGTTTTTTCAGTTCCATGATATAAATATGATTAATTAAATGTCCACACTTTACTTCTTACTGGGATATAAGGTCATATCATTTACATAATTTTTTATTAAATCCAGGTACTTGAATTTTCTATTTATCTTAAACAAGAAAAGTGTTCATGAAACCTTGGAAAAATAAACGTACTAGAATCTGAGGGACCTCATTACAGTAGCATCCCCATGGCTAAATACAATTGATGAACGGACAGTTACAGTACAGTGGTCAGTGCCAGATTGACCTGGGTCACCTTGCCTTAGAAAACTAACTATGAGCCAGGAAATCCCTACTTATGGTCAGATTTCAGATTTGCTCAATACAGGTGCAAGAGCTAGTTTATAGTTGGTAGTGGATTAGTGGTCTCGGTATTTTTGGCCCTAGGTGAAGTATCTCTCCCTATCTGAACCCAAACTTAATACAAACAGCTCCTTCCCAACAGATCTGAAAACTAATACATAAAACTGTGGTCTCAAAAGCTCTCCCGGGAAAATCTGAAACCACATTTGCCCAACCTGGATAAAAAGACTGGGTGGTGACCTAAACAGCCATGTTGGAGAACATACATCGGGTTAAGTAGGTAAGCATGGTGAAAAATGAGAAGTGAAGATGAAATTTGGTATGTTAAGTGAGGTTGACAACGTCTGTAGCTGGAAGAAGGGCACAGCCAGGCAAAAAGTAAAATGGTTGTGGAATGATGAAGTGGACAGAGTGATAAAGAAGGAAAGAAGATTGTATAAAGCCTAGAAGATGAGTGGTGACAAGGAGGAGTACCTGGTGGCCAAGTGCAGGGCCAGAAGAGAGGTTTACAAGGATAAAAACAGCAAATAGGATGCATTCTTGGATATGCTGCTTAGTAATAGGCGAGACATTCAGAATAGTAAGGCAGTAGTTGGTGTGTGAAAAATGACTAGGGTAATGTGGTTGTTGATAATTAGAAAATCATGGGTGCTCAGATAAAATACTACAACTGCTTGCTAAGTGAGGAGTATAAATGAGACATACGCAGCCTAGCGGTAGTAGAACCAGTGCCCAAGGATTGAAAAAGAGAATGGTGCTCTAGACATTACGAATTATGAGATTTTACGAATCATGATGGACACCTCCTCAGGGAAAAACAAACTAAACAACGATACCTTTCAGTTTTGTGCACCTGTCAAAATTTCTATGTTTCTAGTACTATGATGGAAAAATAAGTGGAAAAAGCATGAGTGGTAGACAGTAGATGTACAGTCAAGAAATCAAATATCTTCCGCACTTTGTCCGATAAATATTAAAGCTTGCCGAAATATTCTGGAATTGTTGCCATGATTACGGCCGGTCACTAGGTATGCCTGATTAGATATAAGCTTCGAATTCTTACATGAACCAAAGGGAGTGTCGAGTCAAAATAAAAAATATGTTGCCCGACTTGTATGGGTGCCATAGTGTTGGCAGTGTTGCAACAATATTTCAGTGCACCTCGGGTACCTGTGAATGCAGCCATGGAGAGGTTAACAAGGAGGCATGAGACCATGATGGCAATGAGAAGTGCTATGATATTGTTGTATAGGAGTGATGTGCACCTAGTGGACATAAGAGAGAGATACAATGTAGGCCCAAAAACTGCGACTAGATGGACCAAACGGTATATGGAAGAAGGCACATTAATAAACAGACATCGTTCAGGCCATCGTTGCTCAACAACACCATATGAAGATGAACGGATTCATGAACAGATACAAGCTACGCCTACAATCAGTGCATGTATGATAAAGGAGTTGCAACTGCAAGGAACCTGCACAAACCCAACAACATAAAGCAACACCTGGCATTTGTAAGACAGTATGCTAACAAGAACAATAACTTTTGAGAACAAGTCATATTTGTGATGAGAAAATATTTTCTACAGATGGTCTGGGACTACCACGCATTTGGCGAATGCAGAACACAAGGTAGTGTAGTGTCATTGTTCTGTAAAATTGAGAAAACAATACAGGAATTACACGTAGAAGCAAGCATCCATAACAGCATATACAGTGAACCCTCGCTTTAGCTTTACATGGTTTCACTTTATTTACGCGTTTCTACATTTCTACATTTACACGGTACCCTGCCAGAACCTACTTTTACGCGGTGCATCTACTCATATATGCGGTGAAGTATAATTTTGTTATTTAGCTCATAAAATTCATACAAATTACCCGGCCAGAATATAATTTACATTGCTGGAATTCTTACAATTTGATGATCATTTTGAATATAAGCATCATAGATTTTGCATTAGACATACAAATTTTAGATCTAATGCAAGTATTTTGTTTACTCAGAGCAAATATGTTATCTTTTGTGCAAAATATATGAAGTGTATATTCAAAATATTCCTGGTCTTGCAAGGAATCCAGCAATGTCAATTATATTATCCTAACTTTAGTCTGAGGTATTATTTATTACTAAAAATGTAAATATACTGTTATAACCCAATCATTTCTCTGGTAGGGAGGGAAGGTGGGGGTGAGGGGTAGGGAGGGAGGGAGGGACCCAGGGAGCAGGTGGGAAGAGGGGGGGAGGTGGGGTATTTTGATTGACAGATAGTATTTCGGTAAGTATATTTTGTTTATTTATTGAAGATATTTGTTTTAGCTCATAAAATTCATACAAATTACCGGGCCAGAATATAATTTACATTGCTGGAATTCTTACAATTTGATGATCATTTTGAATATAAACATCATAGATTTTGCATTAGACATACAAATTTTAGATCTACTGTAAGTATTTTGTTTACTCTGAGCAAATATGTTATCTTTTGTGCAAAATATATGACATTTATATTCAAAATATTCCTGGTCTTACAAGGAATCCAGCAATGTCAATTATATTATCCTAACTTTAGTTTGAGGTATTATTTATTACTATACCTTAAAATCTAGTGTTTTCCCCCAATCATTTCTCAGAGAGGGAAGAGCCAGCAAGTGTGAGAAGAGGGGGGGAAGTTGAGTTCATTAATTAATTGTGTGCTGTACCATCATAAAATTAAGATGTTATTTTTACTAGAACATAGGTATTGTGTCGGTGGAGTTTGGGGGGCCCGGTCTCTATTTCAATTAATCCCATATGTTATGTTGTTCACTTTAAGCGTTTCTCGCCTCCGTGGTGGGTTCAATTGACCGCATAAAGTGAGGGTTCACTGTACAGTATAATGCTAATCATTTCTTTTATTGTATTCTATTACAAATATATATGTAATATATACCTGAACTTTAAAGTTCTACTACTTTGTGAAGAATTCCGCAGAATTAATAATAATAATGGTTGCCCCTCATGTAATGAGGATGGCCAGTCCTAAGGCCACCTAGGCATGAATTTGTTTAAGGTGTAGAAGCTATCGCCAACACAACAACCACACCCTGAGTTAACGAGTTGCATGACCCGGTGTCAAGGAATAGTCCAAGAAGACCGGACAACTCGCAAACTGCAATGACTAACCATTACCCCGGAACATGATCCGCAAATCGATTAACATCCAGGTCCCCAATTACCGCTGGGTAGACAGAGGCAAATGGCATAAAGAAACTTGCCCAAACATGCTCTACATACACAAGGGACATCAAATAATAGAACTGTGTTTTGGAAGCATATATTTACCATCAATGCTGCAAAAATAATTTTGTCAAAATACATAATTTAATATAAAGATGCACATGTATCAAAGACACATATGAATTTCATTGTTTTACACAGAATGATTTTGAAGCAATCTTGTGAAACAAACTTGGGTGTGAGAAGGAAGAACATTCAGTGCAGGAATGGGAGGAAATGTGTAAATCAGTATTCACACTGCATTTGCAATGAAGCCATAAATACTCACCTCTTCTCTCTCTGCTTTGTCCATCTGCCTTTGAGACCTACGTTTGGGGGGGGAGCGAGGGACTCTTGTTGGGGACCCATCATTCTCTGTAGATACATCTCCAGACACAGGTGCATCTTCTGTATCTCCTGTAATTAATATCACCAAAAATCAGAAAAAATTAAATACTACTTGTAAGTAATTTTCCCAGCAGAGCCTATTCACACTGAATTTCATACAAGGCAAGCTCATGGCACCGGCAAACTGGGCAGTCGCCAATATATGGAAAAAATTAAAATGTGAAAAATGTATTCAAATTATTCAGGAAGGTCAGATTGTTCTGTTGTCAATATAGATTAAGGACTTCACTGATGGCTTTGTTGGCAATACTTGGTCAAATTGCCTTACTGTATTACTGTATACCAAGATTTATATACCTGCACTGTCTAGATACATCAGAAAATGTACTATACGTATACCGAGAAAATTGTTACATACTGTTAAGTGTTATATAAAAGTAACCACAGAATTTGTCATGAATAAGGAGAAAACTGTATACTGTACAGTACTATAAAGAATAAAAAATAAGAACAAATACATATAAGAGTATATTGTACGTGGAAGATGAGTGTACAGTCAACCCTTGCTTTACGCGGTCCCACATTCCGCGTTTCCACGTTTACGCGGTACCCTGCAGAAACAGGAATGCTCACATTCCGCGGTGCGTGTACCCCTTTATGCGGAGAGCGGCTGGCGAGCCGCGCCATTTTTGGATCCAAACCTCCCGCCATCCGCCATGTTGTGTAAGCGGCACGAGCAGGGTGCGCACAAGGTCGCCCAGTCATCAAAACATTACAGAGTTCTTCACCCGCCACCCACCACAGCCGGCCCAAGTCAGTGATAGTGATAATTATAGTAAGGATATGGACTTTGAGGGGTTTGACAAAGAGGCCCTGCAAGCCTCTGTGGTGGATAGTGATACAATTGATACAAGTGATACAGGTGAGGGCCAATAATCTGCCCTCTGCCTCGGAACCAACCCCCCATCCCCGTGTGCCCAGCCATCTTTTCTACTAATGTAAGTGTTAAAAAACCTAATATTATTGATTTTCTCTTAATTATTAATTGTGTGTGCATACCATCATAAAATTAAGAATTATTTCTACTACAACGTAGGTATTGTGTCTGAAAAAGTGGAGTTTGGGGGTCGGCCCAGTCTCTATTTCAATTAATCCCATATGTTATGTTGTTCACTTTACGCATTTCTCACTTTCCGCGGTACCCTGTGGGTTGAATTAACCGCGTAAAGTGAGGGTTGACTGTATTTCTGGGAACAGCTGGCAGAAGGGAAGGGAAGGGTTGCTCCCTCCCCCTCTTCCCCCAAATTCCTTGAACACTTCTTTATGCAATTTCACTATAATTCTATATAATTTAGGTTCATTTGGTGTCAGGTTGATAAAATATTATCCTAAAATAATCACCATTCCTGAAAAAAGAATCCCACACTGAACACCATGAATCGTTTGTTTACAAAGGGCAAACAGCTGATAAGCTTACCCCAATGTCTGTCTTCAACACTTAGTAAATTAGTACAGTACACTTGTGTATTTATCATCACTTAATAATATTGAAGTGTACAATATTATGCATCTCCATATACCCTGGTTTATTCATTAATGAGTTGTCTAAGTGTACAAGTAGCCAAATTAAGCCATCAATTATCACTCAAAACTAGTAAATAACATTTTTAGGAAGGTATCTTCATTTCAAATACTATTCAGTGTGTTATAGTGACCCTTGTTGTAAGCTGTTCTGCTGAAAGCACGCACGCACGCACGCGCACACACACACACACACACACAAAGGTCCCTCGGTTAACGAACAAAATTTTGTTTAACGAAATCCTTCCGACAAACACGTTTTGTTGTGAGCATCAGCTGATGGGCTAGTCTGCCAATTCAGTAATCTTTTCTATGATTATATTCATTTCTAGTGGAGTAAGTATTAATAAAGTTGTGCTCTTTAATATTTTTGGATTTTTTATATTAAAATTATTAGTCATTTTAACATTTAACATATTGATAATATATGCAGTACAGGAAACTAGTTTTTTGTGCATCCATCAGCAGCTTGACTCAGCTACAAGGCGTCAGTTAGGCTTTGAAAACAGTGGAGTGAACATCTATTTTGTTGGTGTCTTGATATTTTTGCATTTTTCATTGAAATTATTGGTCATTCTGAAATTTAGTTAACATATTGATAATATATAGTGCAGTGCAGTGTTGATTTAAATAAAAAAATCTTGAATTACACCTAGTGAACTTAAAATTTTATTGGTGAAATGACAGCATCAAGCATGGTTCCACTGAAAGGTGATTTCTCCTCCATCCCTACTTCCTTCTCTTCTCCCTTCTCCTCCACCCCCACTTCTAATTCCCATCATCATCATCAACCAGGAACCTTCTACATACACACCTCAAAGTAAGTGTACTTTGTTGCATTTTTTTTTTTTTTACTTTGTATGTACTTTTCGGTGAGCTGGAACCAATTACCCAATATCCCATTGAAACAATGGATTCGGTTAACGAACGACCTTCTGGAACGAATTGTGTTCGTTAATCGAGGGACCATAAGGAAACAAGAAAACACGAAGTTCCCAAGCGCTTTCGTGTAATTCACATCTTCAGGGTTAATTACAGACTAAGTTGTAATACAGTAGAGGAGAGCGAGATCAAGTCCCTAGGGGACAACAGGTGCCCACAATGTTCCGGTCATAAGGCAATGACCCAACCCTTACTAATCTTTTTAATCAAAAAAATTGATCATGCCATCTCTAAGCACAGCAGCTATCCATAGTCAGGTCATAGGGTAAGATGATCCAACCCTCTCACCTTGTTACAAATCTTCTTAATCACAAAATTGTCCAGTTTGTACATACCATTACTCAAATTCATGTTGACAGATTCGGTATGTTTAATGAGACTGGAATCTATACAGTGGTCCCTCGGTTAACGAATTACCTTCCATAAGAATCTTCAATTCGGTTAACGAAATCCTTACAAAAATCACATTTTGTTTTGAACATCACCTGATAAGCTGAGGAGGTACTCAGCCAATTCAGTGATCTCTTCTATGTTTACATTCAAACTAATCACTATCTTATAAGAATTCCAGCAATGCAAATTAAATTCACCCCGGTCACTTCTATTAAATTTTATAAGCAAAAAACAAAAACTCAATCTAAAATAAAAAATAAAATAACAATTAAATACTTCACACTACAGGTGCCAACTGTCAAACATGTCACTGTCACCCCTCCCTCCCTACCCCCCCACCTCCCACCTTCCTGAGAAACGTTTGGGAAAAAAGACTAGGTTTACAGGTTTAAAAATAAATAATACCTCAGACTAAAGTTAGGATAATAGAATTTGCATTGCTGAAATCCTTGCAAGACAGGGAATATTTTGAATATAAACTTCATATATTTTGCACAAGATAAAATTTTTGCTCTCCCCAATAAAAGTCACAAATTTTAAAATTTGTATGTCTAATGCAAATTTTAGCTTGTTTATATTCAAATGAATCACTATCTTATAAGAATTCCAGCAATGTAAATTATATCATGGCCGGGTAATTTCTATGAATGTTATGAGCTAAAAACAAAAATCTCAAATAAATAAACAAACACCAAACACTCTGTCACCTCGCCTCCCGCTCCCCCCCTCTTCCCACGCTCACTGACTCCCTCCCTCCTTGCTGTTCCCAGACAAAAGATTGGTGATTTCTTTATGCTTTAAAGTGTTTATTTTATACAATATCTCAAACTAAAGTTAGGATAATATAATTTGCATTGCTGAAATCCTTGCAAGACAGGGAATATTTTGAATACAGGTTGACAATCCCTTATCCGAAATCCTTGGGGCCAGAGGCATTTCGGTTTTTGGAATTTTTCGGTTTTCAGAATGGTTAGGGTTTTTTTTTTTTTTTTTTACAGGGATCAGCCCACCCGGGCACAGGTCACTGACCCACATTGGGGCCTGGGGACTAAAATATAATAATAATAATAATAATAATAATAATAATAATAATAATAATAATAATAATAATAATAATAATAATAATAATAATAATAATACAGTGACCCCTCGTTTAACGAACGCCTCGGTTAACGAACTGCCTTCCATAAGGATCTTCAATTCGGTTAACGAACAAAAATTCGGTTAACGAATTTCTTACGAACCGACCTCAACATGTTTTCGTTTGCACTGACCGGGTAACCAGCTTTAGTATCAGTCCGCCAATACATTAATCGGTTCTAGGGCTTAAATTCCCTACTATTTTAGTAAATATCAAGAAGTTTATACTATTCAATAATTTTAAAAGTTTAATATTCAATTTTTTAGTCATTTTAACAATTATTGAACATAATTGAAGGTAAAGTGACTAGTTTAATGCGCGGCATCCAGCCTCTTAACACAGCAAACAGGCGTTAGTCTCTCTCTGTTTTCAGTGGAGGTAACATCTTGCTTGAGACTCTCTTCAACTAAACGCTTTTTTCTGTGTTTCCAAGCAAATTATTGGTCATTTTGAAATATATTTTACATATTGACAATATATAATGCAGTGCAGTGTTGATTTAAAGAAAATAATCTTGAAATACACCAAGAGAACTAAAATTTTATGGGTGAAATGGTGCCATGGGGTGACTTCTCTTCCACCCCAATGCCTTCTCTTCTTCCTTCTCCTCCACCCCCATTCTAATTCCCATCATCATCATCATCCAGGAGCCTTCTACATACACACCTCAAAGTAAGTGAACTTTTCTACCATTTTTGTTGAATTTAGGCAATTTTTGGTGAGCTGGAACCAATTACCCAAAACCCATTGAAACAATGGTTTCGGTTAACGAACTTTTCGGTTAACGAACAACCTTTTGGAATGGATTGAGTTCGTTAACCGAGGGGTCACTGTAATAATAATAATTCATAGGTCTAGGTCGTGTTTCTCACTTTTGATTTTTTTTTCATTCTTGTATTTCTTTATTATTATTATTATTATTATTATTATTATTATTATTTTATTATTACAGTATTATTGTTATTATTATTATTGTTATCATTCTTATTCTATTTTTGTGCATTTTTTATTA